AACAAGGACTAAAATGACTGCACTTTTAATGCATGTACGCTGGCATCAGAAGCATCCATCAAGAACCTGATGCTGCAAGCACAGAAGATCAAGTACGACATCATTGGATTGACCGAGATGAGAAGGCGTTGATCACGTCATGCCATTTTCGACACTGAAGAAGAACCGTTCCTCGGAACAGGCAACAGTAGAGGCAACGGTGGTGTCGGTGTCCTCATCAACACGAACTTGGCCATGAGCATCGATTTGTTCGAATGTCTAACAACCCACATTGGACCCTTATGTTTGAATAGATATGGCTCATTGCCAGCAGTTTCTGTCTTCGTCATCTACGCACCAACATCCAACTACGATAAGAAGAAAATGAGAAGTTCTACACGGAGCTGAAGAAGTTCTATAAAGACGACCATACTTTCTACAAGATCATTGTTGGTGATTTTATCGCCAAGGTAGGATTGAGAGGGTTGCCCGAAGAACTCCACATTGGGACACACAGCCTAGAATGGAATGAACAGGGTGAAAGACTGTCTGAGTTCATCATGTCGACCAAGATCATCCATGGTAACTCGCAGTTCCAGAAGGCTAATCTAAATGTTGGATATAGGAGTCTCCTGATGGACGGTTCCACAACGAAATTGATCACATCATATTCAATCGAAAGTTTTGCCTGACCGATGTTGCTGTTGTTCCAAAATTCCAAACAGGATCAGACCACTGTCTACTTAGTGCGAAATTCTACTTCACGGAGCGGGGAGAAAGGGCTGCAAAATTTAAGAAGAGAACTCCCAGAACGACCACCAACTGGGAGCTCTTTGGCACGATTGCAGCAATATGGGAAGATTCTGTTGTTGACAACATCGATGAGGAAAATGATCGACTGGTTCAGCACCTCCATGATTGTGCGAGGAATGCCAAAAGAGAGAAAGCCGCAAAAAGATGCCTGTCTTCAGAAACTCTTGACCTCATTCGCCAATGTGGTTTGGCACAAGCCTTAGGCAATCACAAGCTAACGCCGAGCTTGCAAAGCTGTGTAGAGAAGCCATCAAGGAAGACCTCAAAGAGAGAAGAGCAGCAGTGTTGGCTGATGCGGCAGAAGCTGGGAAAAGTATTGGCAATGCCCACCTGTCCTTCCATCAAGGCTGTATTATGTGTCCAAGCTGTGCCGGGCACTTATTCATTTCTTTTGGCAACTCGGAGGAGAGGAAGGTCTTTTGGAGAAAATAAAACCTGAGCAAAATCCTGAAAGAAGGTAGGTAACAGTCTAACAGAAGAGAAGGCAGTTCAGATGGACAGCCATGTCCCAGTGGAACTAGGGACAGGAAAGGCACTGCTCCAAATGCTCAGGGATCCTGGGTAGCAGGTACTCAAGCGGACTGATAGCCTGATGGGCAGAACCATTTGCCTTTAGGAATGAGTTCCCTGCAGCTTACATAAGGGTCACAGTGTCAGACTCGAGGTGATGGTGAGGAAGTTGCACCCAGACCAGCTTTGCCTCTGAGTTCCTCTGTTAGCACCAAAGGGCCAGAGTTCAAGTGAGAGCTCTCAGCAAAGCTGTGGAATTGGGTGACATTACAGTCATATCTGGACCTGGACTTGGATGGCGGAGTCATGTCCATGACACCTCTCTGGCCCCAGCCTGTACCTATGCTCTGAAACTTCTGTCGTGAGGGTTAAGGCATAGGCGGTTTCTGCGTTACACTGACACATGTCATGGTGACGTGAGACTGTGTGTGAGTCTGAGCAAGGGTGAGCGTGTGCCTCTGGCCTCCTGGGAGATTCTCCTGGGCATTTAAATAAGAGTGACTTTGGGTTACCTTCCAAGTCGGTTCCTTTGTGCTATGGTGCCTTTTGGTACTTTTCAGCAGTCTGAGGAGAGGATGGGGTGTGTCCCAAGTCTCCTTCCTTCCTTCCCCTTTTTTTTTACGGCAGGGGGCGGGTGACAGTTTGTGGTTGACACCTGGTGATACTCTAGGGTTACTCCTGTCTCTACACTTAGCAATGACCTCTGGTGGTGCTCAGTGGGCCCTTTGGTATGCCAGGAGTTGAATTTGGGCTTGCAGTGTACAAGGCAAGCACCATATCTATTGCACAATCCCTCCACTGCCCCAGCCCATTTCTATACTTCCTAATACCCTGACACTTAAGCACTAGTTTTTTGTTTGCTCATACAAAAGACAGATTCTGAGGGCCTTCATTATCAGTTACATTCAACATCACTGAATCACTGTATCACTGTCATCTCATTGATAGTCAAATTACTCGAGCAGGCGCCAGTAACGTCTCTATTCCTCCCAGCCCTGAGATTTTAGCAGCCTTTTCTTACTCATCTTTTCCCAATGATTGGAGGCTCTTTCAGGCTCATTGGAATGAGACCTATTGTTGTTACTGTATTTGGCATATCAAATACACCACGGGGAGCTTGCCAGGCTCTGTCCGTGTGGGCTGGATATTCTCAGTAGCTTGCCGGGCTCTCTGAGAGGCATATATTTATGTAATTTTTCTCTATGACTTGTTGCCTACTACATTCAACATAGGCAGTACTATGGGTCTTTTCCTCCACTTTCGCAAAATACAAACAGTTCAAAAGCTTGTCCCGTAGACAGAGTTCACTTACTGAACTGAGTCAAGACTCTAGAGGTTCCAGGTTAAGTAAAGAAAATCAACATTGCTGTGTGAGTTTCACTGCTGGGAGGAGAAGAGTTCCCAGGATTTCAAAATCACTATCATGTTCTGTTTCTGTGTTGCATGACTGAATTTTGCTTTCTAGAGCTGCTATGTTCTTAAGCAACATAAAATCGTACTGTTTGAGTTTCTGTTTCAAATGAAACATTACTCACAGGAAAACTGGAATGTTTTAGAGTACCTAGAGGGTCACCATGTGAGCAGAGTTTATTGGCGTGTGCAGTTGTGTGGGGCTGTCTGAGGTACTGGGAGTTGGGGTTTATTTTGCAGCCTAGCACTAAGCTAGGTTAGCCACACATAGGACATTTGGGTTTCCTTGCCAGGTTTTTTTGGTTTTGTTCAGTGTTTATGCTACTAAATTCTCCCCTCTTTGGGTCCAAGTTTGTAGAGTAAAAGACAATGTCAAATCTCAGTCTCCAGTGTCAAAATCGTTCCCAGATTCTGGGTTGGCCAGGTGATAGCTGTGTATTGCGGTCAGTATTTATGTTGAACAAATGACTACAATTATCCAGTTACCCAATATTTAGACAGATTAACTAAAATATTTTAAGTCATTTAATAAGTCTTCCTTTTGGGTCTGATTTATCTGTTTTTATATTTTTATAAAAATATTGATATTTTTATGTATTTTATTTTTTAATGAAAGAAATGTACTGATTGTCATAGGTAGAGCAATGGCCCTTCCCAGAGATGTCTGAATCCATATCCTGTCAGCCTGTACATATGCTAGGTCATGTGGCAGAAGGCCCGAGTGTTGCTGGTGTGACCCCTTCTCCCCCCCCCCCCCAAAAATCATGTTTTCGGGGAACTGGAGGATGCTTTAGTGGCAAAGCATCTGTTAATATGTTATTGATATATTAATATATTAATAATATTGTTAATCAGTATCCAAATTGTTCCTGGATTCTTAAAGAAGTTAAAGCTGCTGATCAACTACCCTTAAATGGAAAGATCATTCTGTGATTTGGGTGGGCACAGTGTAATGATCAGGAGAGGAGAGAGGAGTCATGGTATCATGGTACATGATACCATGTGAAAAACTCAGTGTGTCCTTGTAGTGTGACCGCTGGAGGGATTAAGGAAGAGGAAGAGATCACAAACCCAGGAGTGCAGACCCCTCTGGAGATGGGAGGGCGGGACGCGTCTCCCTGGACCTTCGGGATGGAGCGCCTTCCTGCCCACATCTTCACAGCAGCCCAGTGAGACTCGGGCCAGACTCTTAGCTCCAGAGTGATAGGGAAATAAAACAGGGTTCTTTGGGGGCCAGTAGGGTGCTTGCCCTGCATGTTGCATACTCCAGGTTCTATCCCTGGGCCCTCTGTGGCCCCCTAAGCCTATCAGAGTGATCCCTGAACACAGAGCCAAGAGTAAGCCTGAGCACTGCTGCGTGTGCCCCCCCAAACAAAACAAATTTATTTTAAGCCACTAAATATCTATAATTTGTTAAGTTTAAACTTTTAAGTTAAAAGCAGTACCAATTTTTGAGATCTTTAATTGCTCAGTTGTTCTGAGGTAGCAGACCCTGAATGTACTGCGGCTCACACATGCTTGCCGCAGTGCTCTGAGCTCACCCTGGCGCTTGGCTCCCAGGCACAGCTCAGGTAGACAGTGCTTCTGCAGGCAGCGCAGGGAATTCTCTCCACGCGGACCCCTTGTCAGGGCAAGCTCTGTCGCTCCTGTTCTCTAGGCCAGAGACCTAGTATATGACCGAGTTGGAATTGGAACCAAACTGGGTCCCGTTGACTGTCATTGCCTGGCTGCCTTCTGGAGAGAAAAAGCTTCTTTGAGGGAGTGACCCAGGAAGCCAGTCTGGCCTCACCTGCTGGGCCAGAGCTTTGGCTGTGTCGTGTGTGTGGACCCAAATGGTTTCTCTCAGCAGCGTCACACAGCTTAGCCAGCACAGCCGCCAATGAGGTCGGGGAAACTAGGGCTCAGGCAGGGATGGTCAGTGGAGGCCTTCTGGGAAAGGCAGGAAGGAGATGAGTGTGCCTTGCAGTGACCCCTCAGGGGTAGAAAGGAGGAAGGAGAAGGTGGGAAGGACCAGGAGAGCCTCATGGCGACCTGCGACACTCTCAGGTGCATAGGGCTCCAAAGGTCCCCAGGCTTCACTTAACTTCACACTCCCTTTTCAGAGAGAAGCCTCATTTCATACCTGCCCCCCTCCTCCCTGGAAACCATCCCTTCCCACCCCAGGCCACGGCCATGGACTCCATCTTTGCAGCATTCCCCTTGGAGTGTAGCCCCCTTGGGCCCCAGGGCCGTATCTCCCGCGCCCGTGTTGGTGTTTGGTTCTCTGACCGCCTGAGCCTCCTCTGCAGGAAACGGGGGAGCAGCTTGCCATCAAGCAGTGCCGGCAGGAGCTGAGTCCCCGGAACCGTGAGCGCTGGTGTCTGGAGATCCAGATCATGCGAAGGTGAGAGCCGGGGTGAGGGGCAGCAGGTGCTGGGTGTGGGGTCAGGAGCTAAGGCCACCTCTGCCGCGGCTCAGACAACCCTCCTCTCCACTGTCGGTCAAACCAGCCAGATAGGGCATTGGGTCAGCTATTGGCCTGGAGAGGACTGTTGCTTAGCTTGATTTGTTGTGCTAGGTAATATAAAATATGCTGCACTATAAAGTTTCCTTTATCGGCGAACATTTGTTTCCTGTATTTCTTTTTCTAAGGTGCAGGTCCCCACAGCGGTAAGTCTGTTGCTCATGCACATCCCCCTAGAGCAGAGATGAGGCCAGTGGCCTCGAGTGCTGTTCTCTGTGCAGTCACCAGTTGCTGTGAAGTCCACTGGCAACTTGGTGGCTAGTAGTTGGGAGACCAGGAGCATCCTCAGAAGGGAGGCAGCTCTGGTCGCGCCAGCACACTCTGCTGGCAATGAGCATGGCCACCCTGCCCCCTCCAGAGAGTCCTGAGGGCTTGACCTGGGGTGCCCCAAAGCAGATTGCTGCTTGGGACCCGTTCGAGTCCTGGGAGGGACAGTGGGAAGTAGAATGGTGTGTGTGTCGCTGTTTGGGCCCCAAGCCTGGCCGCTGTCTTCCTGCTCATTCTCCTGGGCTGTTGAGCATGGGCGGTGAGGGAGGAAGTGCCCAGCCACACAGTGGTCTGTCCCTCACTCTCTCTTCCCGTCTAGGCTCAACCACCCCAATGTGGTGGCTGCCCGGGATGTCCCTGAGGGGATGCAGAATTTGGCCCCCAACGACCTGCCCCTGCTGGCCATGGAGTACTGCCAAGGAGGAGATCTCCGGAAGGTGAGGGGCCCGGAGCTGGTGGCCGTGAACCGAGATGCAGAATCCCAAGCTCGGGCGAGAAAGCCAGGGCGGGACAAGCAGTCTGCCTACAGGGCCTTGTCCAGACGGCAAGGAAAGCCCCGAAGGTCTTACGGACAGGGAAGGCCGGGTGAGCTCTCCCCCGGCCCGACCGCTTCTCTTCCGCCGTATCTTTAGCAGGCATTTTCTCGCATTTGTGTCAGCTCAGCACACAGGCTCACCTTGGAGCACTCCTGAGACCCCCAGAATCCCCGCTCTGTGTCTTGACTTCAGGAAACAGGGTCTAAGACAATAAACATAAGCTTCAGATCACAGCTTTCCTTTTTTTAATTTTCTTTAGTTTCTATTTACAAAGTATTTATGGTTGGGTTTCAGACATAACAGCGTTCAACACCAGCCCCTTCATCAGAGTCATAATGTTTCTCTGTTGTTTTTATTTGAGGTCAAGTTCTTGTCCAGTATCAAGTGCCTGATATGTTGAGGGCCCAGGAGGGAGGGTTGAATATGGGGCAGGCCTCAGGTCCACTTGGCATCCTGTTCCAGCCATGCCCTTGAGTGACCTTGGGAGCACAGATGGCTGAGTCCCACCTGGTCCCCTATCCCAACTCAGCTTCCTCCCTCCTGCTGGACCCTCTCCCCTCCCATGCTACCCTGGGCTCCTGTGGCTGCCCTTTCTCTGAACAGAGGCCACGGGTGGGGCTGGCACAGTCCCTGAGGGCTGGTCCTGCCTGGCCAGATGCCCAGGTTCCCAGCACCGGTGGTCCGATGCAGGGATGGAGTGGGGCCAGTGACTGTCTCCTCCTCTCTCCCCAATAGTACCTGAACCAGTTCGAGAACTGCTGTGGCCTCCGGGAAGGCGCCATCCTCACCCTGCTGAGCGACATTGGTGAGTCCCAGCCCTGCTGAGCACGGAGGAAGGACAGACTGAACTCGGGGCTTGCCCCTGGGTGGGTAGGCAGGGGCTGGCCCCACAGAAGGAGAGGTTTCCACTCCTTGTTTCCCTGGCTGGCTGCTGATGGATCCATCTGAATGCACTTCAGGCTTGGTAATGGTGTTTTCCACTTGCACTCGGCCAGCTCTTTGCTGGTCACAGGTCTCGGAAACCCTGGTCTAGCCCTGAGTTTCTGCCGGGGTCTCAGCACATGGTGATGCCTGGGGGCACAGATATCACAAGTTCTCCTTCCCTGGAGACCAGCCCTCCATTCCCCCCTTCCTCCAAATATACAAAGTTATTGCTACAAGTTGATATTTGAGATAGAAACCTTAAAAAATTGTTTTTTAAAATTTGAGGGTTTTGGGGCCACACTCAGCAATGCTCTGGGTTACTCCTGGCTCTCCAGTCAGGAGTTTCTCCTGGCGGTTTCTGGGGGATATATGGTTCATATGGGGGACATATGGAGATGAAACCCGGTGACACTGTCAAGGCTAGCACCTCCCGCTGTGTCAGATGTTTCGATCTCTGGACCGAGATCTAAGCTGTGGAGTTACCCATAGTTTATCTCTGTGTTTGCCCCAGATTTAGGAATTTTCTTCCCTCTCCCACCTCATTTGCTTATTTCTCACATCTTAACCTTTAATTTAATTTTTTTTTAATTTTTAAATTTTTATCTTTGGGAGCCACCCTGGCTGTGCTCAGGGTGTATGCCTGGCTCCGCACTCAAGGGTTACTCTGACTGAGTTGGGAGACTCTATGCAATGCCAGGGATCAGGCCCACATTAGCCACGTGCCGTGCAAGCACCCTGTTGTCTCTGCTACCTACTCTCTCTGGGGCCACACATCTTGACTTTATAATTTGCTGTATTATGTAGTCTTATAATAAAGTAAGCTAGAACAATGTGTGTATATACTTATTATATATAATGTGTATATGTATTATATATGATGTATGTATATACATTATATAGTGCTATCAAATGTATCACATATTATATTCTTACAGTAAAGTAAGCTAGAGAAACGAAACTGTTGAGTGTTCCAGGAAGCATTCAGCACAGACGTTTCTCTGTGACATATGTGGTCCCTTGGCTTCTCTGGAAGACCTCCCTCATCTGCTCTGCAGTGCTCTTGTCCTCCTGTCAGCCAACCGCCTGCAAGTGTATTCTCAGTATTCGTAGTCTGGTGTGGTGAATCTGTGTTTCTGGTAACATGGACAGGATTTATTTTATTTTGTTTTACTGGTTCTGGGGCACACCCAGCAGTGTTCAGGGCTCCCCCTGGCTCTGCACTCAGGAATCACTCCTGGTGGGCCTATGGGATGCTGGGGGATCAAACCTTGATCCACTCAATGTAGTGCAAGCACCCTGCCCACTGTACTATTGCTCTGATACCAGACAGATTTATTTTAAAATCCCTCTCAACATTATTACATTTTTGCCTTTATCGTTGTTAGTAAAGAGCAAGCTGCATCATTAACTTGGCATTACACATCATTGACAACCCTCTTCATCAGGTCATATAATCCTAAGTAGTTCTTCAGAAATAGTTTCCTTTTATAGTAAGGATTTACAGGAATTTTTTTAACCATTTTCTGCTTGACAACTTTTAGATTGGTTCCAATTAGTTTTATCCAAGCTGTACAACAAGCATTCTTATTTATATTTTATATAACTCTCCACACACTTGCATGAGCCTCATGCATAAAAGAACTGGCAGAGGAACCCAGGTATATGGGACCCGGGGCTGAGATCTCCAAGCCTGCACGGTTTGGGACTGGACCTGCCAGTAGCTAGACAGTTACACCCTCCAACTGCCGTGTAACCCCAACAACGGCCAGGATCCAGAGATTATCACACTCAGCTCCCGGAAGCTTATCATCTTACCATCTTATCATCTCATTCCTACTTTGGACAAACTGGCAGACTACTGAATGTAACCTGCCCACACGGCAGAGTCTGACAAACTCCCTGTGGCGTACCCAATATGCCAAATACCAGTAACCATGAAGGGTCTCATTCTCCTAACTCTGAAAGAGCCTTGAATATGGCACTTCTTTAAAAAATCTCAGGGCTAGGACGAAGGAGATGTTACTGGGGCCTGCTCAAGGGCAATCGACGAATCATATTTTATGGTGTTTTTAATTATATAAGCTAGATTTCCAGAGGTAGTAAATAGTGTGCCAAATAATATTTATTTTTTAAAGCTTAATGTTTATCGGCATACTTCTTTCCCCCAAAATGCACAGCAATCGATGGTGCTTTTTATTTCTCGTTTAAAATTCTTGCTAGTTGAAGAAATGATATTTATTGGGACTGGGATTATATAGCACAGCGGGTAGGGTGTTCGCCTTACAAGCGGCCAACATGGCCGACCCGAGTTCGATTCCTCCGCCCCTCTTGGAGAGCCCGGCAAGCTACCGAGAGTATTCGATATGCCAGACACAGTAACAACAAAGTCTCCAATGGAGACGTTACTGGGCCCGCTCGAGCAAATCGACGATCAACGGGAGGGCCTTTATTATTATTATTTATTTAACAAGATATAGTTGACGGAGAAAAGTTGTTGATCCATATGTATTTGTTTCCAGATCTTCTGTTAAATTCTTTCTGTTTTTCATTCATTATGTTTTCTTGGGCATTCTGCTATATCTCTAAATAAAGATAATTTTATCTCCTTCCAATATGTGATCCATTTTTTCTTACGTAGAACAGTCAGTTAACGCAAAAGCACGTATTGGAGCTTGAGAGATGGTCCAGGGGTTAATGTACTTGCCTTGCACTGGTTCAGTCCCAACAACACATGGTCCAAGCCAGGAGTGCTCCTGAGCAGAGTCAGGAGTAAGCCCTGAGCATCACTGGGAAAGACCCAGCAGCAGAACAACCACATACTGCCTGACGTGTGAGCTGCCAAAGTGCCCCTCCTATTCTGTGTAACAGACCCCATCCCTCCACACAGAAGCTATGGGCCTCACTGTCCTCGTGCCAGACATGTCTGAGCTCTTGACCGTCAGCCAGAGTCTGGGTTTCATGTTTCTCGAAGAACCCAGAACTGTGTGTCCCACCCACAAACAGAATGGCCACGTGTCTGGAGCGTGCTTGGTGCTTCTTCAAGCTTCCCCGTCTCTGCTGTGAATCTCCTGGACCATCTGACCCAAGTGCTCTCTCTCCTGTTACCCGCTAAGCAGAATTGAGGGTTTTGAGCATTTGAGCCTCTAGACCAGAGGAGTTCTTAAATGTTAGCAGCATCAGCACCACCCAAAGAGCTTGTGGAAACAGTTTGTGGGCCCGAATCTCTGATTCAGCAGGCTTGGAGCGAGACCCTGCACTTCGGCAAATCCGACAGCTTTAGATGCTTCTGTGTGGGCAGAACCCTTGCACCTGGTGACCTGGTAGATGTAGAGTTAGGAGTTCAGGTGCTACTCAGCCAGGTTCTGGTGCACCGAGTCCCCTGCGTCACTGAGGAGCCGCCTGCCACCTGCCTCCCTGTCAGTGTCCTGGCACAGTATGTGTCTCTCGGATTCAGTGATGCCATAGTTCACACACTTAATGGAAACTCACCCCCTTTCTCCTTCTCAGCCTCTGCACTTAGATACCTTCACGAAAATAGGATCATCCATCGGGATCTGAAGCCAGAGAATATTGTCCTGCAGCAAGGAGAGCAAAGAGTGAGTGGCAGTCCCGAGACCCCGCGGGCAGCTGGGCCGGGGGAGAAGCGGGTGCTTTGTCTGTCTGTGTTTGCAGCCCCTGGGACTCGTGTTGCTTGGATTCTCTGGGAATGCCGTTTGATTTGAAACTGCATCCATCAAAAAGTTCTTGCTTGCAGATTGAGGCAAGTTTGAATGGACGCCATTATTAATTGCCAAGATGCAGGAATCTGATAAGGAAATGTGATTTGTCTTCCTGCCTCTGCCCTGGCGAAGGGGACTAGCTCTTCTTGGAAAGAGACTTCTTGTTCTGCATTTCTTTGAGAACCTCAACTTTGGATGCTAAGTGAAACGAGCTGTATTCTATACTGTCTGTTGGTTCTGAGAAGCAGTTGCACTGGTGGAGTCTGGCGGGGCCTATACTCCCCCGAATTCTTGGTGGCCACTTCAGTGGCCCTCCTGGCCCCCACCTGCTGACGTGCAGTGCTTTGCTCTTTCTCCAGCTGCTGTGCACTGTGAGCACTCGACTACTGGGCCACCTCATCTCTCTATAGCTTCCTCAGCTAGCTAGACCTGACCCGTAACTGTAACAGTACTCATTTCTGTTCCAGTCACCTCTTGTCACCAATTCTAAGATTTGAGTCTCAAGACATTCCTGAGAAGGGACTGGCCTCAGCTTTATATTTCATGAAGTCCAGGGTTAGCAATCTAGCTGGCTGGACCTGTTCTGTTTTGGTTTCTTTTTTTTTTTTTTAAATGTAGGAGCATTGCTGTTTATTTAGCCATTGATTAGGCTGATTGGGCATGAACTCCACCTTACTTTTGTTTTTTTCCTTTTTATAAATTTAATTATTGAATCACCGTGAGAGCAGTTACAAAGCTTTTGGGTTTAAGTCTCAGTCATACAATGATGAAACACCCGTCCCTTCACCAGTGCCCATTTTCCACCACCAAAAACCCCAGTATACTCCCCATTCCACACCCTCCCCCTACCTGTGGGGCAGATGATTTCCACATTTCTCTCTCTCTCTCTCTCGCTCTGTCTCTCTCTCTCTCTACTTTGATTGCATTCAATATTTCGACACCAGACCAACCATTATTATTTGGGATTTTACCCCAATACTCATATCTGCCGAAAAGACAACCATAGACAATTTGTTTTCTATTGCTGATTATGAATAACATATGATGTTGCACATCCACAGTAGTGGCTGCATGATTTTGGAATTCCGAAATTTTAACATTTAAATCTGGAGGGATTTCTGCCAAAACCTTCTGGGTTCCAAAATTTGTTTCTGAGTCTCTGGGATCATGGCTGTTAAGCAGCTTGATCAGGAGCCAGAGAGGCCATTTGTGGGCAGCAACTTGGGGTCCTCTTGGGGCAGGCAGGAAAGGCCCAGCTCCACCCCCATCCCGTGAGGACTCGTATGTCTCATCACTGTAGGCCCAAACCTGACTGTTCAATGGCCTGTCGAGGATGGCGGCCACCAAGCTGCCAAGGGGGCGCAGGTGGAGGGACAGTACCCTTTCCCCCCTGGGGTGGCCCAGCACCGGTAACCTACTGTGGGGACCAGACGCATTTCTGCCAAAAACCACTGGATTCCGAGATTTGTTTGAGTCTCTGGGATCATGGCAGTTTGGTCAGGAACCAGAGAGGTCTTGCCTCCAGTTACATAGCTGAGCCAGAGGTGGTTTATGTGTGTGTCTCCCACATACCTAACTTTTGGCTGTTTACTTTATTGGTAAACTTGGCCCCAAGTTGTTGGGGTTTGGCCAAAGGCATAGCAGCAATTTTGGGGTATCTAGAAGTCTGAAGACGCCATCAGGCTGCTGATGCACTCGCCTTACAGGTACAGATTGACCTGCTGGCGGGACCATATCCCATTGTTTCTTTTTGATTTTTTAATCTTCCTTTGGTGATTGGTCATTGAGAGAGGCAAACCATAGCCCTCTCTTCATTATTTTCACAGTAAATGCTTTCTCTTACCCTCAATCTACTCAGTAAAGGTGTTCTCTTGTGAGTTCCATGATTCAGAGAAACTTAGGACTTAAGACAACCTAGAAATTAATAAGAGCCTCTACCTTAATAGCAGCTAAAATTATTTTGGGGGGTTGTTTCATTTTGGGGGGCCACACCTGGCAATGCTCAGGGGTTTCTCGTGGCTCTACACTTGGAATTACTCCTGGCAGTGCTCAGGGGACCATATGGGATGCCAGAGATTGACCCTCGTTAACCACATTCAAAGAAAGCGTCCCAGTGGCTGTATTATCACTTAGGTCTGCAATCAAAATTCTTATAGGATAATAATATATACGTATAATCCTCAGATCTCTTCTCCCTCCCTCATTCTTTCTTTTTTTTTTTTTTCAGTTAATACACAAAATTATTGACCTGGGATATGCCAAAGAACTGGATCAGGGCAGTCTCTGCACCTCGTTTGTGGGAACGCTGCAGTACCTGGTAAGAGGGGGTTACATGTGATTATCTTTCTTATCTGGGATGTTGGGGGGGGGGGCTCCTCACTTGCCAACTCAGCAGAAATTTCCAGATCCATAACCATCCAAGTCCTCCTGTTTGTCAGCAGGCGCCCTTGGGAAAGATGTGGCCATCTTGTCATGTTAGAAGGGAAGTTTTGAGTGATGGGCATAATCTGCAAGCCAGGCCCTGTGCTTGGAGCTGGTGAAGCTGTGGGCAAGATGATAAACATGTCCTTGGCCTTTGGGAGGGTCCAACAAGAAAGGAGCAAACAACTGGGAAACAACAACTTTAATAAGTACTGCAAAGGGAAAATTCAGGGTGTTCTAACAGCAGCTCTGTTGGAGGACTTTGCCTGTTCTGGACACTGAAGGGATCGGTAGGTGCAAAGGAACCAGGGGTGGGGACAGGTGGAAAGCTCCAGTCAGAAGGTCAGTGTATTGGGAGAGTGAGTTTGGCTGTCTTGGAGGACAGAGTGTTACTGGTTGAAGTGTGGAGGAAAAAGTCGGGGGCAGGTCATTCAGGGCCTTCCAGGCCAGGTTAAAAATGCTTCACTTTAAAATCTCTGGAGAAGCATCAAGGGGTTTTGTTTGTCTGCCTTTCAGTTACTGTTTTTGGGCCCCACACAGCTGTACTTAGAGCTTACTCCTGACTCTGCACTCAGGGGTCACTCCTGGTAGGGCTTTGTAAACCATGTATGGTGCCAGGGATCAAACCCAGTTCAGCTGCATGCCAGGCAAATGCCCTACCTACTGTACTATCTCTCTGGTCCTAGACATCAAGGAGTTTTAATTAAATTCAGAGGGGTCAGGTTACCGGGCTTCTCCCTCTTTTTCTTGCCATACTCAGTGGTGCTAGGACAGATGAGGTGCTGCTCTTGGCGAGGTGCTTGGGGTGCCATGTAGCGTAGGATATCAAACTTGGGGCTTCCACATGTAAAGTGTGGTCTCCAGCCATTTGAGTTTCTCCCCAGCACTTACTTTGGTTGCCCTTTTGAATAAACCACTCTAGACGGGCTCAGAACAAGAATTAAGAGAGGGCATGTTGTGAGAAGCTTGTTGCAAAAGGCAGTTTGGAGTTGTAGGCGGCAGTGAGGATGGAGAGATTCCTAGCAAGAGACTCAGCGAGACTTGGTAAGAGATTGCTTACAGGTTGTAACCACCAGTAAAATCACGATCACGACCATCCTGTTGTTCGTCCATTGCCTCGAGCAGGCCCCAGTAAAGTCTCCTTCATCCTAGCCCAGAGATTCAAGGCTCTTTCAGGGTTAGGAGAATAAGACCCATCATTGTTACTGGTATTTGGCATATTGGTTACGTCACGGGGAATTTGCCAGACTGCCGTGTGGGCAGGTTACATTTGGTAGCCTGTCAGTTTGTCCAAAGAAAAAAAATGAGATAATAAGATGTCGCGCGGCCACATTTGCGGCTGCGCGCTTCCAGGATCTGGGTTTTATAGTCTCTGGATCTTGGCCGTTGATAGGATTACATGGCGCCAGGGGGCCAGTTGGTGGATGTGACCCCTGCCTACTGGAATATGGAGGATCTGGGTGGAGGATGCTCACTAGTAAAATATTGGTTGAGTAAAGGAATTTGTAGTTTAAAAAAGGATTTGTGTGTGTGGTATAAAAAACGTAGTAAGGGAATAACAAAAGGCTAAAAACAAAAAAATCTACAAACTGGTTCCCGGAACTGAACTTACCATGGCAGTGAGATATCAAGGAGGACTTGGGGGAGAGGGTAACAATGCTGGGGACAAATGAATGGGGCCCCTGAGACAGTAGTGGAGAGAAGGGACACTTGGTGGCTGGGGCGGTGCTGGCATGTTGGAGTAATGAAAACCCAGCAAATAAAACATGAAAAGACTTAGTGCCAGATGGGCCTCAATTCTCTGATTCTTTATTTTATTATTATTATTATTATTATTATTTTGCTATTTTGGGTTATACTGAGTGATGCTTGGGGGTTACTCCGGGCTCTGCACTCAGAAATTACTCCTGGCAGTGCTTGGGAGATCATATGGGAGGCTGGGAATCGAACCTGGGTTGGCCGTGTGCAAGGCAAACACCCTACCCACTGTGCCATCACTCAGCCCCAATACCCTGATTCTTGAACTGAAGAAACTTGTCTTTGAGGCCTTCTCGTGTGCATCGGCAGTCGACCTACCCGCCAGGCCCCTGTTGTCTGCTGCTGACTCCCGGCCCTGTGACTCAGGCCCTTGAGATCCTGTGCTGGCCTTGTGGGGGACCTGCTGAGTGTCCTGGTGGCCAAGTGGGGCCCATGCTCTGGCTCAGTGTCATGATCACTGCAGGAGCTGCACCGTAACCAGATACAGTCTTGCCTGACCCCCCCCTCCCCCCGTGCCCATCTGATTTGGGCCTCCTGGCCTTGCCATAGAGCCCCCCCCAACTCTAGCCTGTCTCTGTGGCCTTGACTCATCATGGGGCCTTCTGGAATGCATCCTGTCGGCCACTCATGTGAAGATCCTTTGGGCCCCTTAGTGTCCCCCCTGTGCTCCAGAGCCTTCCTGAGGTGGCCCTTTAGTGTCCCCCCTGTGCTCCAGAGCCTTCCTGAGGTGGCCCTTTAGTGTCCCCCCTGTGCTCCAGAGCCTTCCTGAGGTGGCCCAGTGCCTGATCTGCCAGGACTGTGGCAAGCGCAGTGGCCTTTGCTGCGTGTGGGCTGTGCCGCAGGGTGTTGTTTGTAGGTCAGCCTGTCTCCCCTCTGCAGAGGCTGGGATTCCCTGCAGCCAGGGCCCTGCTACGGCGTTGGAGTGAAAGAGGTTGGCCGGATCCCCACTGCACCCTCTCTCTGTGGGGCCTCCTCTCCAGCCCCCGCTGTGTGGCCAGGAAAGTGAGGACGTGGTCTCAAGGGCTGTTGCTTCCTCTTGGGTGGCTCAAGGGTTTCCCACATGTGCACTGCAGGCCCCAGAGCTGCTGGAGCAACTGAAGTATACCGTGACTGTGGACTACTGGAGCTTCGGCACCCTGGCCTTCGAGTGCATCACGGGCTTCCGGCCCTTCCTGCCCAACTGGCAGCCTGTGCAGTGGTGAGTGAGAGCCGCAGCCAGTAGGAGAGCGTGTGCCTCTGCCTCACCTGGCCCTGGGCCGTGGGTGCTGCCAGCTGGCCTGGAGACTTCTGTAACGGTCTCCTGCTTTCCAGTTACGGAACTGAGGGTTCTGAATATTAAATAAATGGCATTTGCCCTTGAATCAGTAGCCACAAAGCAGTTCATTTTCAGACGGTTGTATAAATGCAGATAAGAAAATGGTTTAAACATGAATCAAACTTAAAAAGATTTCTAGTAAATCAAAAGATATGGCTGTTTTTAAACATTACTGTATATGGGCTCCAGAGAGATAATATAGTGGGCAGGATGCTTGCCTGAGATGCGGCTGACCCAGGTTCAGTCCTTGGTACCACATATGGTTCCCTGAGCCCTCAGGAGTGATCCTTGAGCACAGAGCCAAGAGTCAGCCCTCCATTGTGGAGCCAAGAGTGAGCACCCTCCATTGTGGCCCTCAAATCAAAAAAGTATAATGATGATGATGATACTGTATGTATTCTTCAGCAGTTTTTCCCCCGATTTTAAAAATACTGTGGGGCTGAGGAGATAGTTTAGAGAGCTGAGCACAGATCTCAAGTCTAATCCCATGGCATCACATTGACCCCCAAGCATGCAGCGGGGACCATCACTAGTCTCATGGCATCACATAACCCCTGAGCATAGTGGGGGCCATCACTAGTCGCCCCCGTACCCCCAGGCCCGGGCCCTGTGCCTCAGTCCCCCGCTCACAGCTCTGGGAGTGGTCCCTGCTTCCCCAGGCCACTGGAGAGACCCTACTCACAAACACAGCAACAATATTGTGTCGTATGTTAGAGAATTTATTATTGAAATTTAAAAATCATCATTTCCCTAAATCAGTTTGGTTTCATTCAAAATTGTTCTTTGAGATGCTACACGTGAATTTTTTTTAATTAAAGAACCATGATTTACAAAGTGACTGATAGTTGCATTTGGGGCATACAATCACTCAACACCAATCCCCCCACCAGTGTCAACTCCCCTCCACCAGTGTTCCCAGATTCCCCACCCCAACCCCCACTCCACGCCCTCCTGTTAACTTGATGGGCACATTACGAAGTTTCAGCAGTTGCCACTTAGGTCTCGTGTTTCATAGTTTCATAGTTCTGTAGATCTATGTATCTGGCTCTACCCTCACTCAGATCACTGAGATAACTGAACCCTGATGCCTGTTCACCCATTACCTCTTTTTTTATTCACTCTCCTCCCCCACCCCCGATTTTTTTCCTTCTCTTTCTCCTCTCTAAACACTGAGGTCAAGGATGACCTGAGCTTCCCCTCTTACTGCAGTCCATTTCCTCATCCAGTATTCCACAGAAAAGTAAGATCATCTTGTGTCTTTCTTCTGGCTAACTTCACTAAATATTGTATCTTCTAGTTCCAACCAGGTTGCAGCAAACTGCATGATTATTCCTTGTAGCTGCATACTATTCCATTGTGTGTGTGTGTGTGTGTGTGTATATATATATATATATATATGTACATATATATATCACTTCTTCATAATCCATTCACTGTCATTGGATACCCAGGTTGATTCCATATGTTAGCTGTTGTATTGAGTGCAACAATGAATAATGGTGCTACACCAAATTTGAATTGTGTTGTTGTTCAAAATTTTTTGTTTGTTTTTAAAAAACTTTGGGGCAATAATAAGTTCACTTGGTTCAACCTTGGGGCTAAAGAGATAGTACAATGGGTAGGGTGCAAGCCTTGCTTGCGGCTAACCTGGGTTCAATCCCTGGCAACCCATATGGTCCCCTGAGCCCACCAGGAGTGATTTCTAAGTGCAGAACCAGGAGTAATCTCTGAGTATCACTGGGTATGACCCCAAAACAAACAAAACACATGGTTCTACCTTTATCAATATAAAAGAGTCTTTCCTGGCCTAGGAGATTGCTCAGAGCGTTGGTGCCTAGGTGAAAACCTAGTGCCATCTCCCTGAGCAGGTTAGGAATAGCCCCTGAGCACTCTCAGAAGATCAGCAAAGAATGATCTCATCTTGGTCCCCAGCTATGGTCCCCAGCAGCATTGTTTGGGGGAGGTTTTCAAAGATGTTTTGTACATGTATGACAGAGTAGTGTGCGTTTATTCATTTGTATGTTTGCCACCTTTGTGGGTGTGTTAGACCTACACACAACAGTGTTTAGGGCTTGGGAGATTATATGCAGCACTTGGGATGGAGCCAGCATTGTCCGTGTATAAGCACTATACTCTCTCTCCGGTTCTTACGCTTTTCTTTTCTTCTTTTTTTTTTTTCTTCTGGTTTTTGGGCCACACCCAGAAATGCTGAGGCCCTTACTCCTGGCTCTGTACTAAGGGATCACTCCTGGCAGTGTTCAGAGGGATGATTTGGGGTGCCAAATCAGGTCAGATGTGCAGGCCAAGAGTGTTGCCCATCGCACTCTCTCACCAGCCCTTCCTTTCTCTTTCCTTCCCATTGGGAGTGGTAACCTCTGTGAACTGCTTCTGTGTGCTCTCGGCATTTTCACACTGCAGGTATTTCTGTAATAAGACCAGATACCACCACCACGAACATTTTTGTGTGTCTTCAGGCTCTTGAAGTATCTGGAGAAAAAGTAAAATAGGGCTGTAGAGGTAGCACAAGGGTGAATGCACGTCCCTGGGTCAGCCTCTGGCATTCCTGTGTTCCTCCAGCACCAGACTGACCCTGATCACAGGGCCGAGAGTAACCCCTCAGCACTGCCCGGTATGGTCTCCCCAGAGAACAGTTTGTTCTTTACATGCTTTTCAGATTTGCTGTTGAATATGTTCTTGGGGTTGGAGGTTGAGCCACACCCGTCAGTACTTACTCAGTGGTCACTCTTGGCTGTGCTCAGGGGCCTATATGCAGGGATTGAATGAGAGTCTACAGTGCATAGGCAAGCGCTCTATCTCCTTTACTGTCTCGACTACCATCCCATTAAAATGCTTGATTTTCGGAGGGGCAGAGAGATAATACAGAGGTCAAGGCACTTCCCTTGCATCCGGCGCACACGGTTTGAATCCCCAGCACTACTGCATTTGGGTCCTCTAACACTGCTAGCCAAAATAGCCTCTGAGCACCACTGTGTGTGGCCCAAAACAAATCCCAAAAAGTCTCTTTGGTTTTTCACTAAGTAGCCATTGGGTCATTTATAACTTTAGCTTTGTAAAGCAGCACCAGTGCCTTGTTGGGAAACCCCTGTATACCCACAGTGATTTTCCTATGGTAAGTCCCTGGAAATAGAATAGGTAAAAGATTATGCACGTCTTTTTTTTTTTTTTTTTTTTTTTTTGCTTTTTGGGTCACATCCGGCAATGCTCAGGGGTTACTCCTAGTGGTGCTTGGGGAACCATATGGGATGCTGGGAATTGAACCCAGGTTGGCCACATGCAAGGCAAATACCCTATCCACTGTACTCCAGCCCCTATGCATATCTTAAAGGTCTCATGTATTTAACAAACTGCCCAACAGAAAGGTTTCACAAATCACACTTCCACCAGGAATTTGCAAAGCTGCTTGTTTCTCCATAGCATTGTCAACACTGACTCTTGTCATTTTTTAAAGATACCTTTCTGATAGTCATAAAAGCATTAACTTTTCAAGTGATAGGCATTTGCATAATGAGAAGATTTTTTTCTAACAGTAAGATTCGATCTTTGAGATAGGCTCAGAAGAGTAGTTTTCTGTTTGAACAGTCAGTTTGTCTCTGTTTCTACAACAGGCTTGTGGAGATAATGCAGGGCCTGGACTAGCTCTGAGGGGGCCCCTGAGGTGCAGAGGGTGCCCTCCTGTGGGGACTTCTTTTAAAACAAGCAGTGCTCCCTTCGCAGTCTATAGATGCTGGAATATCAAGGAACTGGCTCATAATGTAACCATGATAAAAAAAATAAACATAGTAATGATCCGTATAGCTATAGTATTTTAACTCACCAAGGAATTGCTGTATTTCTTTGTTCAAATGATGTGCCTTTGTGTTATTATAAGATGAGTTAAAATCCATTAGAAGTGGGGAAACAAATACTATTTCAATTAAGCCTCTACGGGCTCAGCATTTTTGTAGTAAATGTCAGCTGTCTATTGTGTAGACAAACATCTGTTGTCTGCAGGAGTCTATTGTCTATACACTCAGTTTCTTAGAAGTTTCCCCACTATTGGGGCCAGAGGAATAGTACAGTGGGTAGGGAACATGCCTGCACACAGCTGACCCAGGTTTAATCCCCAGCATCCCATATGGTTCCCTGAGCACTTCATGGAGAAATCCCTGAGTGCAGAGTCAAGAGTAACCCCTGCACATCACAGATGTGGCTCAAAAAGAAACAATAAAAAAAAGAAGTTCCCTGTTGATACCAAGAAGATCAGGTTTGTTCTGGCTCTGCACGCTGCTTAGGGGCTGCCATAGACTGGTCAGGGTCACTCTCAGGATTCCAGGGCCCTGTGTTGCTCAGGACCCAGCCCAGACACTATATACCCAGAGCTGTGCTCAGCTCTCTGAGCTGTCTCTCCTGCGCTGAGTGACCACTTAAATGGGCTGCTCTGAAATCCAGCAGGGAGCAATTTATGAGAAGCGTCTGTCTCATTTGCTTTGTTTTGTTTTTATTTATTTTTATTTTATTTTATTTTTTTCTTTTTGGGTCACACCTGGCAGTGCACAGGGGTTACTCCGGGCTCTGCACTCAGGAGTTACTCCTGTCGGTGCTCAGGGTACAATATGGGATGCTGGGAATCGAACCCGGGTCGGCTGCATGCAAGGCAAACGCCCTACCCGCTGTGCTATCTCTCCAGCCCCTGTTTTGTTTGTTTTTAAAGAGTGAGACCCTGTGTTTCTTTTCCTGAGGTCCATATCCAGCGGTGCCTGGGGCTCCGGACCACTCCTGGGCGTACTGAGAATTCAAACCAGAACCTCAAACAGGAGAGGCGTGTGCTCTGCATGAGCTTTGTCCCAGGCCTCCTCACCCTTTCTTTTCTTTTATGAGTTTTATTTCTTTATCATCTGCTTTTAAATGGCTCATAAAAAATTTTAAAATTTCACTGATTTATGTAGTTTAGGCTTTATAGTAGAAAATTATTTTAGGACTTAAGCAATAATCAATAAGCAAAAAAAAAATAGTTACTACCTTGTTTCATTTTTATGACTTCCCGTTGACAGGCTGAATTTCCCATTTGTGTGTCACGACAGAGTCCTGATGTGCAGCAGTGACAGCTTCTGCCAGACCTGGAGTCTCCCAGTCTGTCACACTCCTGCTCAGGACCCGGTGCTCCCGGGCAGAGTCCCGCTGAGCCCTGTCATCTGTGCTTCCCCTTGTCATCAAGAACCGCTCAGAGCTAACGCTTCTTTTGCTTTTTAATTTCCTGGGTGTTTTGGAAAGAAAATACTTGGACATTCAGACAGACAAGACTTTCGATTTGAGTCCCTTACAACAACAAGTAGTTGTGACCTTGGAAATAGCACCTGATGTTCATTTCCCACTACCGGGAAAAAGGGGGACTAAAATCTATGACTACCTAATGGGATTTTCATGGCAAGGAGGTGTGTATTCCACACACACGGATACTTGCTTATCCATGAAATATCATTCAGTGTATTATCCTTGTTGCTAAGAAGATTCCAGACCAGTTGGGTTTAAGTTTTGTTTTGTTCTTTCCCTGTAGGAGCCTCTTCCCACAGTGCTCCAGCCTTGCTCTCTCCTGTAGGGGCTCTCCCCACAGTCTTCCACCCTTGCTCTCTCCTCTAGGGCCTCTCCCCACAGTGCTCCAGCCAGGCAGTAGGTGGTGCTTGAGGCCTTGCTAGCATCAGGAAGTGTCTGTAGGCACTGTGCCAAGGAACAGACTGGCACCTACAGATGCAGGCCATAACTGTTACCACTTAAGCTACTCCTTGGTCCTGGGTTTAAATTTGCTTTTTCTTTCAAGTGCTCTTTAAGAAAAATCAATAAATCTTCTGCATTGGGAAATGTCCAAGTTTGTTTGTCATGAGAAATAACATTTAGCCAGGTACATTTAGAGGAAAGTGCGTTTGTGTGTGTGTGTGTTGTGCAGAGTTTGTGTAAATATGAAGCATATGTGTTGGAACATATATATGTGTGTTGGAAATCTTCGTTTTATCCTGTATCAAGGGCTGGAGTGATACCACAGCTGTAGGGCGTTTGCCTTGCAAGCGGCCAACATGGCTGACCCGAGTTCGATTCCTCCACCCCTCTCAGAGAGCCCAGCAAGCTACCAAGAGTATCTCGACCGCGCGGCAAAGCCTGGCAAGCTACCCGTGACGTATTCGATATGCCAAACACAGTAACAACAAGTCTCAAGACGGAGACATTACTGGGCCCGCTCGAGAAAATCGATGAACAACGGGAGGACTGTGACTGTGATCCTGTATCAAAGCATCCATTCTGCTGTAACCATTCTCCAGTTTCCCGCTGCAGAAGTGAACTTACCCTTGCACATTCTGTCTGACTGTGGCAGCCCCGCTTGAATACAAGGAGAAAACACGAAATATACCCAATTCAAAAATAACCTGGTAAATAACAATGAACTTGACTTGCTCCAAAGAAGAATCTAAATTGGAGAGTTTTTCAAGAATAGCGAGATAAGTACCAGGAGGTTCACTCCATGGGCTGGAGGCCAGCCGCACATGCTAGGGGGAAAAGCAGCTCAGATAGAGAAGGGAGCACCAAATAAAGGGCATTGGGAGGATCCTCCCAGGATGGGAGATGCATGCTAAAAGTAGACTATAGACCGAACATGATTGCCACTTAATGCCTCTTTTGCAAACCACAGCACCAAAAAGGAGAGAGAGAACAAAAGGGAATGCCCTGCCACAGAGTCGGGGTGGGATGGGTGATGGGGGGTGGAAGGGATACTGGGATCAGTGGTGGTGGAAAAATGGGCACTAGTGGAGGGATGGGTACTCGAACATTGTATAATTGAAACCCAAGCACAATAATTTGTAAGTCTACAACTGTACCTCATGGTGTTTTCACTAATAAAAATTCAAAATAAAATAAATGGGAGGTTTTTTTTTTTCTTAAGCATGTTTTTTTATCTGGATAAAATGAGCAGTAAGGAAAAGTAGGACAAACCAAGGATGTGATGAAGAGCCAGCAGCCCTGTCTGTAGCTGTCTGGACACCAAGTGGGTAATCACTGCCTGTTCCTGCCGCACTGGTCTTACTAAAGCTCTCCAAGAAGCTGTGCCAAGAGGCTAGAACTGCACTGGCTTCCAAAAGGGTTTAAATAGTGACCCAGAGCTATTCTGTATGGTTGTAAAGTGATAATACACAATAATTATAAAGTGACACTTGACCGCCAAGTAACTGAAGGCTGTAATTAACAAAATAACATGTTTGCAGGCACTCTAAAGTCCGGCAGAAGAGTGAGATGGACATTGTTGTCAGTGAAGACCTTACTGGAACCGTGAAGTTCTCCAGCTCCCTGCCCCACCCCAATAACCTCAACAGGTGAGGCTCACTGGAGAGCACCTCATGCCTGAGGTGTTGTAGAACAGATTTTAAATGACTTGTTTGATTCTGTGACTGAGAGCTTAGAATGTATTTCTCACTCCTCATTCCCATCCAGAAATGATAGTTTTTCCAAGTTCACATAACAATCTGCGTCTCCTCCTATTCTTTGTAGCTTTCACCGTGTTTCACGTTTAGTTTTATAGATGGACTATTCCTAGTCAGTTGCAAGCTTCTCAAGGGTAGGAAACGGGCTATGGTGATGGCACAGTGGGTAGGGCACTTGCCTTGCATGTGCTGACTCAGCACTTTATACAATCTCGGAGCCTGCCAGGAGTGATTCCTGAGTGCAGAGCCAAGAATAAGCCCAGAGTACTACTGGGTGTGTCCCCCACCCCCAAAAAAGGGTAGGTAGTTATATTTTATTTCTTTTTGTATTTCTCTTGTGGCCTAATACAGTGTTATGATCATGAAATTAATTATTGTCATTTCACCAGCATTACAATCTAGTCTTAACAGCCAAACTCTGAACAAGTTTAGATGGTATCAGTATTGGATAATAGGAAGCTCCATGGAAGTCAGTGGCACTGACTAGCGTGGATAATAGGTTGTGCTTGTCTTTTGTTTAGAAACCACACCTAGTGGTGCTCAGGGGTCACTTCTGGGGTCAGTGGACCATATGGGGCTGAACTGAAGTCAGCTACGTGCAAGGCAACAGCCCTCCAACCCCGTGGATGACCAGTATGAGGGCTTGGAGGATGGGTAGAAAGGCAGTGTGTGGACCTGAGCTAATATGGAATGACTTTGGATGAAGTGGGAAAGGCTTTTTGGAAAGGCTTGGAAAGGTATGTAGGCTATTAATAGATGAGAAGGAAGTTTGCAGGGAAAGGATTGGGGTGGGTAACAGCACATTTAGGAAGGCAGTGAGCATCTGTTTTTCACTTCAGTGAGGACTTTCTTGCAGAGGTAGTGGGAGGCCCATCCACAGGGCCTGTCCAAAACAGTGCACTTGCTTGTGAGCCTGCCAAGGGCTTCTGAGGAGGTGGCTGGCAGTCTGGCTCCGTGAGGAGTCTGTCTAGAGGGAACCCCCTGGGGACAGGCATGCCTAGAGGCTCATTTAAAATTCTTTCAGGTGAGCTTGTCAGAGCTCAGGACGGACCCAGCTGAGCGTTTCTGTGTGAGAGGTTTCTAGAGGGTTTGGGGAGTGGTGAGCACACACATCCTTCACTGGATAGGAAATGTTCACTCTTCTCTGATGAGCTCACCTGCAGTTACTCTGAGTACAGTGGTGATAGAAGCGTGTATACCTTCATGCATGCCGGGTGCCTTTCGGGGGTGGGGGCAGGTGGATAGCCCACGCTGTCTTCCTAGTGTCTTGGCACGACGCCTGGAGAAGTGGCTGCAGCTGATGCTGATGTGGCACCCCCGACAGAGGGGCACTGATCCCTGCTACGGGCCCAACGGCTGCTTCAAGGCCCTTGATGACATCTTAAACTTGAAGGTAACCCCACAACCATGTTCGGCCTGGCACAATAGGGGAGGCCCCATTTGTCACAGCCATCATTCCAGGAGGGGCGTGCTTGCTGGAAGGCCAGTCAGGATGGCAACGAGGCTTAGCAGCAGAGTGCAGGACTCACACAGTGAAGCTCTGGATTCGAACCTCATCCAAGAAAGCAGGTGGGGAGGACTGGTCATGGGCCACGTATTTGAGGGAGAAACTCAGGCTCTGGGGCTGTTTCTCCATCTAAGTAAGGAGCGAGGCCCCTGTGTGATTGTTCGTGAGGCCAGAGCTTTGGACAGGAATGAATATCAAGACAGGAATATATGGACCAGGGTACTCTGAGCCCTTCTTCAAGCTGCAGGGATCTAGATAAGGACAAAGTTCGTTGCAGGTATGATGTGGTTGCAGTGACCTCCGGGTTGTGTTGCAGCTGGTGCACATCTTGAATATGGTCACAGGCACCATTCACACCTACCCGGTGACTGAAGATGAGAGTCTCCAGAGCTTAAAGGCCAGAATCCAGCAGGACACCGGCATTCCTGAGGAGGACCAGGAGCTGCTACAGGAGGCGGGCCTGGCCCTGATCCCCGACAAGCCGGCCACACAGTGCATCTCGGACGGCAAGGTCAGCATGACTGCCCAGAAGGCCTGCATTCCCTCCCAGCCACCAGCGACTTGACTCGCTTCAGACTTTCACTCCTTTGGCAGACGGGCTGTTGATCACAGACATGCTGCTTATTTTTCTTGTTTGTGTGTGTTTTGTCTCTGTGGTGCTTGACCCGTCCCATTCCAGATCCACGCACTGCCATTCAGCTCCGGCTGTGCCTTCCTGCCTAAGCTGGAGTAGGAAACCCCCTGTGTGGCCTGATAGATGGTCACTGCACACTTTGCGTTTCCATTCGCCAGTCAGAGTGCCTCAATTTGCCTTTGTTGCCAAGCTGTGCATTCTCCTGAGCCAGCTGGACTCCGGATGGCCACCCGCTGCTGCCCAGGACCCTCTTATGGTGGCTACGATAAGGCCATGCCTGCCTCAGAGTTGGTCAGCTGAAGACTAACCGCTGGGTAGACAGTGAGCCGACATCGCAGTTTTATAAAAAGACAGTCAGAGAATGCAGAGGCCTGTCAGAAGTTGTAAATAAATAAATTGAGTTGCCAGTATAAAGGAACAGGAAAGGGCTAAAAGGTGGCATCACTGGGAAAGGCTTCAGAGACTCGGGAATTGCTGAGGAAGTGTGGGGAACACTCGGAAATCTTGGGGGCTTTGAACCATTTGAACTCACCTTGTCTCTGTCTCTTTGCAGTTGAATGAAGGCCGCACACTGGACATGGATCTTGTTTTTCTTTTTGACAACAGCAAAGTCACCTATGAGACTCAGATATCCCCACGGCCGCAACCTGAAAGTGTCAGCTATATTCGTAAGAACTTTATTGTTTTTAATTCAGTTTTGTGTTTTGGCCACATCCAGCATTGCTTGGAGGCTGCTCCAAACTCTGTGCTCAAAGGGCCATGTGGTGCGAGGGTCTGAAGACGGATGTCCAGCATGCGAGATATGAACTCTGGTCCTTTGAGCTATGTCCTTCCCTGGTGTTTTTTTGTTTGTGTGTTTTGATTTTATTTTTTAATTAGTTGTAATACTTGGGACTGTTGGAGGGAAGCATGTGACCCTGGAGCTCAGCTTACTGAGCCCTGGGTCATCTTCCTTAATTAGGATATGTAGGTCATCCCCAGGCAGAGACAAGTGTTCAGTCCAACTTAGACTCAACTGTCAGAAGAGGAAAGACAGTACTGCCACAAAGTCTGAACTTGAAGCAGATGGCTAATTTCCAAGTTTTATTGATATTTTAATAAGTAATACATAAACAGGAGACAAAAATAAAGTACAAAGTAATATACCATGGGAAATACACCACCAGGGCTAGAGAGATAATACAAGCAGGCAAGGTGCTTGTCTTGCCCGCTGCTGGCTCTGGGCTGGTCCCCAGCACCATATTTGGTCTCCTGAGCACCACCAGGAGTGACCCCTGAGCACAGAGACAGGCGTAAGCTCCACACACTGCTGGGTGCAACCCAATAACTAAAGCAAAAAAAAGGAAAACAGCCTTCTCCCTCAATTCCTTTGTGTCTTCCAGGGAATCTGCTGCTATCAAAATGTTCACTCTACTTACCAGCAATGTTTTGTGCTTTTATAAATTATACGAGACACATAATTTATATATTTTCTTTTCCATCTCAGATGTATTCAATATGTGCTGCTCTGTACCTACCTTTTTCCCTTAATATATTTGGGAGATTTTTCCCCAGTTGTTATAAATCAATCTACTTGTATGTTTTATGATGGGCTAGCATTCCATTATATGACCATCGGATAATGCATTCACTGCTCCCGTTTTCTCTTCCCTCTTTTCTCTTCCTCTCTCTCTTTTCTCTTTGTCATTGTCTGTCTCCTTTCACACACAGGCACGCGCATGCACACACACACACACACACATAAATAAATTTATTGAAGGTCCAAAGTCTGAGAGCTACAGACTTATTCCTTATGTAATTGTCTTCTAGTCCTGGTATTAAAGCTGCAGATCTAGAAAACTTCTTGAGGTCTTCAATTTTGTGAACACAAGAGTTTGTATTGAAAACATATGCGCTTGTGTACGTGTGAATACCTCTATGGCCCATAGAGTGTTTCTTCAGTGATGAGAGACAACTGAGAGCATGCTCTGATGCAGGGGGTGAGGTCAGTCTCTCCTAGAGCCCAGAGGAGCCCCTCAGCACCAGGGTCATCCCCAGAACACCCTCCAAAAAGTGTTTCTTCACGTCAGATCAACAGCTACAAATTATTGGCCAGTGCAATGCCTGTGCTATAGATGGCTGCAGAAAGATGTGAGACAGTCTAAGTGTGAGCCTGAGAGAATCATCACCTGGTCATTAGCCGCCTGTCTGCAGCCTCTGAGTGCCAGTGAGGGGGGGATCATGAGGATTCATGCTCTGACCGCTCTGTGTGTCTCTGTTCTAGTTCAAGAGCCCAAGAGAAGCCTGCCCTTCTTCCAGCTGCGGAGAGTGTGGGGCCAGGTCTGGCACAGTATACAGGCCCTGAAGGAAGACTGCAGCCGGTTGCAGCAGGGACAGCGAGCCGCCATGTACTGTCCGGTGCTCCCACAGACCTCTGAAACCACACCACTGCCCCTGGGAGGGACAGGAGGGAGACACTGGTTTGGCTGGGTGGCATGTGGTTAGTGGGATGGACTAATCTGAGAAAGTGAGTCAGGCCAGCACCCAGAGCAGGAGTGTAGACTGGAAGCTGGGGCTGACCCAGAGTGGCATCTGGGACTTGGAGGAGCATGTGGCGTTTGGGTCAGCAGTACAGCCCGCTGGCCTCTGTCCAGTCCGGGTGCCAGCCACACACAACGCGCAGGGCTGGGAAACTACTTTGTGTGGCTGTCCATGTGCTGGGATTTATAGCGAGGTGTTGGAGGCAGTTTTGTCCCTGCTCAGGAAATGCATTTGGATCCCAGAATACCCATAAGCTTCTGTTTCTTACGGCCCCTGTAGGATGAATCTCCTCCGGAATAACAGCTGTCTTTCTAAGATGAAGAATTCCATGGCTTCCATGTCTCAGCAGCTCAAGGCCAAATTGGATTTTTTTAAAACCAGCATCCAGATTGACCTGGAGAAGTATAGTGAGCAAACCGAGTTTGGAATCAGTGAGTGGACTTTTTGCATGAGTTTAAGGAGCACTTTTATTTATTTTTCTGGAGGTTTTTTTTTTTCTTTCCCCTTGTTCTCTTATAATTGAGTTGTTTGTTTTGTTTTTGGTTTTGTGGTATTTTCAGTTTTTTTTCCCCTAATTTTTTTTTTTCCAGCATCAGATAAATTGTTGCTTGCATGGAGGGAAATGGAACAGGCTGTGGAGCTCTGTGGGCGGGTAAGAGACACATTTTAGGTCCATGTCCTCACTAAAAAGAATGAGGCTTTCCACTGCTGTTTGCCACTTTCTTGTGGGACAGTAAGCTTTCCTTTCATGTCATAAATCAAGTTTTCCTCTTCCTGGTTTTTGGCCTAACTGGCTAGCAGGGGCCCTGTTGTACAGGTCCCGGAGTTCTCGGGTGAGAGCTGAATACGAAGCAGAATGAAAAGTCTCCTGGGGTCAGGAAGGGGACAGGGGACACCTAGATCTCCCTTTGTAAGAAAGAAGCTTGAGGGAGTGATCAAGATACCTTTTAAATGTTTTTTTCTGAAATTTAAATTAATTAAAAACCAGTTGAACATCAAACGTAAAATAACTCCGAGGTGTTTCTGCAAGCACTCAGCCATGTTACAGTTCTCAGGTGAAAAGCAGTCCTGGGTAGATTACTGGGCAGCCCTCATTATCGTCCAGGCCAATCCAATGTGCAGGCGAGTGAGTGCTCTACCCTGTTTGGGCACTCATGTGCCATCTGTGAAGTAAAGGAGTCTGTGCGAGTGGACAAAGAAAGAGACTTGAGTATCCGCTGGATGTCTCTTCGTGCCAGCATTTTACACACTTCCTATTCTCTAATTCCTGCCATGGCTCAGATAGAGGCAGTTTTATCATAGTGAAAACGGCAGTGCAAGGGTTAGGTACCCTGCCCAGGGATCACACAGCGGGAAGGGACAGACGCAGAACACACCAAATCCCTGTTGCTCCCACGCCATGCAGAGTCCCGGTCAGGCTGGAAGCTGTCCCCCAGACCTCACCTTATGGGCTGCTGTTATGTCAGTTTACACTAGCACAGCTTCTTTATTAGGAGAATGAAGTGAAGCACCTGGTGGAGCTGATGATGGCCCTGCAGACAGATATTGTGGACCTGCAGAGGAGCCCCATGGGGAGGAAACAGGGAGGCACACTTGACGACCTGTGAGTACCCGCTGCCAGGACCCCCACAGAGAGCTGTGAGTCCATGTGGCCACTCAAATCTGCCCCACCTACATGGATCTACACGGCGTGGCCCAAGACTGCATGGTCAGTCTCCCCACCCTGACCCTCAGTGTCCAGGCCTTTCAAGTGGGGAGGAGAGTCACCCCCATTGAGAGGATCAGTTCCAAGAATGCCTCTGAGTTCTGGTTCTAAATAGATCCAGGAGCAGAGAAAACTGCTTCTTAGAGAAGTTCAAGTCTAGAAATTGTGTTTTTGGTGTGAGTGGCAGGGATGCAAATGGGGCGGGCACACCCAGCTATGCTCAAGGTCACTCCTGGCCCTGCTGAGGGAGCACTCCTGGTGGAATCCTGGGGATGGAACTCAGGCAGGCTATGCCAGACAAGTGCCTGCCACGGAGCTGTGTCTCTGGCCCCTGGAAACTGAGTCTTTGTCAGTATCCAACCTCGGATTCAGAAGGGAAAGTGGTGCCAGACCGATACCTCCCCCCAGGGTGCTGCTCACAGGCTGGGGGGAGTGGGACATCCAAGCTGCATCCTCTGCCGCCCCGCCCCCGCAGAGCCCTGCCAAGTCTCTGGTGCTCTTGCTGACAGACCGGGTGATGGTTTCTGTGATTTCTACTCTGTTTAACCCTTTATCCACTCATTCTCAAATAAACCATCAGCCAGTCCTGCGATAGGAGCCCGTGCGTCCCCTGGGCTGTGTTTCCAGGCCGGGCCTGGCATGGTGTTCCCTCTGCTGGAGAATTCCAGGGCAGATTTCCTTCCTAAACTCTCCTCCCGAGCTATCTCCCTCCTGCTGCTCCTGCTTCTGTCAGTGACTGCTGGCAGGAGCTCCTGAGCGGTGTGTCAGATTGCTTCTCTGGCCTCAGAGGACACAGGGGGACCTGTTTGTGTGTTTCAGAGAAGAGCAAGCCAGGGACCTTTACCGGAAGCTGAGGGAGAAGCCACGCGGTGAGTGGGGTCTGCCTGCCCCAGCTCCCGGGTAGCGCAGACACCTGAGGAATCACCAACTTCTCTCTCCAGACCAACGAAGTGAAGGGGACAGTCAGGACATGGTGCGGCTCCTGCTGCAGGCAATCCAGAGCTTTGAGAAGAAAGTGCGGGTTATTTATACACAGCTCAGGTATGGAGCACGGGGAGCGCTGGGTCCGAGGGGAGTGCTGGGTCCAAGTGTCCTCCTTGCGCCGCCTGCTGGCTTCTTGATCACACGGAACTGCACCCTCCCACCTCCTTCAAGCCAAATGCCTCCGAGTGAACCAACGCCTTTCTGCATGTTTGCTGTTTGCAGTAAGACTGTGGTCTGCAAGCAGAAGGCCCTGGAGCTGCTGCCCAAGGTGGAAGAGGTGGTCAGTTTAATGAACGAGGATGAGAAGACAGTCGTCCGGCTTCAGGAGAAGCGGCAGAAGGAGCTCTGGAATCTCCTGAAGATAGCTTGTGTGAGTGCAGTGCCACAGCCCCACAGCCCACAGGCACTGGGTTTTATTTATGCCTGCGCATGAATAAATTCTATACAGTTATTGTGTCACAATTCTCGAGGTGCTAGCAGGCCTGAGATCCCTCTTGAACTCTGGGGAATGAGGGGATCCTTCTTGCCTCTGTCAGCTCCTGATGGCTCTGAATATTCCTCAGTCCCTGCTTCTGCCTATGTTTTCACAAGGACTCCACTCTCCCTCTTGGTGTGTGTTGCAAGAGCACTTACCATCAGATTTAGGTGCTGCTCTTGGCATCTATAGCTGCATCTGAAAAGACCCTTCTCCAGATAAAGTCACATTCCCAGATTCCTGGAGTTAGAACATAGACCCATTGATGAGACCCATCAGCCAAAGCGGCTGTTCCCTGTGTCTGCTGCTTACTGGGTCCTCCACAGTCTTTCCCTATGAGCTTTATGCCATAAATCAGAAAATGTAACACACAAGAGAAAGCCAAGGGGAGAGAAAGGATCAAGGTAGAATCATATTCCGGGAACCAGGGTTGAGATTGAATCCCAGTTCTGAGCACCACTACATGGCGGAAGAGGATGAAAAGAGAATAAGGTAACCTTTTGCTCAAAGCAACGATGGGACAGTAGATGCTTGCAGTGCACTAGGACAGCCTTAGCCTTACCCCTCAACTTAACTGGCCCTAGCCTTCCACCCATTTGGCATCTTCCCAGTGCGTACAGGAAGCCCAGTAGGTAACAGCAACTACAGGTGCAGGTGGGGGAGCAGGGTGCTGACAGGAGAAGCATGCTTAGGGGCACCCCAGCTTTGGTCTTAGCAGTGAGGGAGCCAGAGGAAACTAAAGTCAAGGGTGTCGCTCTCACCGAGGATGAGCTGCAGTGGGTTGGACGCGTGGAGCAGAGTGCTCCAAGGCGGGGAGGCTGTGGAGGCTGGTGGAAGCAGGCCAGATGGCAGGATACTCGGCATGAAGTGGCAGTGCCAGCCTAGAGGGAAAGTTGCAGGATTTATCTTCTTTCATAGAGAGGAAATATGGACCCCATTTGTGTTTTAGAGAAATCACTCACCGCCAGCTAGAGGGAGGGTCAGTGAATTAGTGCTCTCACCTGACAGTGGGACTGGAGCTGAGTGGCCCGTGGCCCCAGGACAGAGTGATGATTGGTTTTTTTTTTTGGTTTGCTGGGGGTGGGGGCTTTTGTGGTTTTCTTATTATGTTTTTGTTTGGGGGTCACACCCAGCTCTGCTCAGGGCTAACTCCTGGTGGTGCTCGGGAAACCCTATGTAGTGCTGAAGATGAACTGGACCAGCCTCATGCAAGGCCAGCACCTTACCACATACCCCTCTCCAGCCCCCCAGGGTGCTTTTCAATCACACCTGGTCAGAGGTGCTCCTGGCAGTATTCAGGATTGTGTAGTTGTGTGTCCAAACCCAGGCTCCAGCCCTTTGGGCCATCTTTCTGGCTCTGAGTTTGTTGTTCTGTGGTGGTCGGGATCTTGGGCCACACATGGCACTGCTTAGGGTCTATTCCTAGCTCTGTGCTCAGGAGTCAGCCCTGAGCTGACTCCTGAGGAGTTTGGGGGATTGTCATAATTGGTGCTAGAAAACAAACCAGGGTCATCCTCTTGTAAGACAAATTTTTTTTAATTTTTTTTTTTATTGAATCACTGTGAATTACAAAGTTACTCATGATTGAATTTCAGGCGTACAATGTTCCAATTCCAATATTTTCATCACTGTCCACTTCCTACCACCAATGTCCCCAGTTTCCCTCCCGCCCCCGAGTCTGCCTCTATGGCAGGCATTTTTTTCTTTATTTTTATCCCTATCCCCCCACTCCCCCAGGCACTGTGCTTTCCAGTGCTCTTGCTGATGGGCGTCATGCTTGACACTGTACCTCTTTCAGACCTAGTCCTGTTCCAGAGTGCCACTTTCCTATTATTGTCACATTGATCCCATCCCTGACCTACTGATCAGTCCTCCATCCTTCCCTCCCCACTCCCACCACATGCCCCCATCAAGGCCAGCTTCCTACTAGGGACCTCATTTCTTAGGTCCTAAGACTAAATTCTGCTCTCCAGTTATTCCTGTTTCTTTCTGTCCCACATTTGAGTGAGATCATTTTGTGTCTATCCCTCCCCCTCTGATTCATTTCACTCAGCATGATACTCTCTAAATATATCCGTGTATTAGCAAATGTCATGACTTCGTCTTTTCTTCTGGCCAAGTATTGATCCATCATGTGTCTTTGTTACAGTTCCTTTTTCCAGTTGTCTATACGTGGGCACCTGAGTTGTTTTTCAGATTTGAGATACTATGAATAATGCTGCAATGAACATAGGAGTGAAGATGGCTTTTCTGCATTATGTTTTAGAATGTATTTCCAGGAGTAGAATTTATTTATTTTTTTGCTTTTTGGGTCACACCTGGCGATGCTCAGGGGTTATTCCTGACTCTTCGCTCAGGAATTACTCCTGATGGTGCTCGGGGGACCATATGGGATGCTGGTAATCAAACCCGGGTCGGCTGCGAGCAAGGCTAACACCCTACCCACTGTGCTATCGCTCCAGCCCCAAGGAATAGAATTTCTGAGTTAGATGGAAACTTAATTTCTGAACTAAATCTCTAAACCTCCTGGTATGGGTTGTGTGTGTGTTTATTGGGGCCACGCCCAGTGGTGCTCACAGCTCAGACTGGGCTCACACTGCACCACATCTGTTCTGCCCCTTACACACCTCCAGTTGGTAGAAGTTTCACACCCAGACAGCGCGGGAATGACTACCTACACACTCGCAGGCACAGGCCTAAGCGAGGAGTCGGACGGCCGGGAAGCTTCAGCAGGAGGATAGCAAGTAGGGCCGAGCTAGGGGCAGGAGGGACTGAGGAAAGGTGGGATTCAGATTGCACACATGATGTTGGCCACAAAGACCCGAGCTACTCTTAGAGAGTCATAGATTTCTGCTGTCACCTGTCCTTTAGATTGTGTTGCCTTTCTTTTTGGTTTTGTCCTTCAGAGCAAGGTCCGTGGGCCTGTCAGTGGAAGCCCTGATAGCATGAACGCTTCTCGCCTTAGTCATCCAGGTCAGCTCCTGTCCCAGCCTTCTACAGCCCCCAGTAGCTTACCTGAGTCAGCCACGGAAAGGTAAGTAGCTGTGAGCAGCGCCTGGGTCCCAGCAGGCCATGAGGCTGGCAGGACATGTGCTTTTCTTTTTCTTTTTCTTTTTTTTTTTTTTTGACATATGCTTTTGTTATCAAAGGAAAGAAGGGTCAGATTAAATAAAACCAGTGTCCAGAGCTTCCTTTTCTGGTTGCATCTTAAAGAACTGTGGAAATAGGGGAAATTGCTTTGTATATAATTTTTTTTTCATTTCACAACCTGATGTGCCTAGGTTTTTTTCGGTGTGGAGGGCACATGTGCAGGTGCTCAGGAGCTGCTCCCAGCTCAGTGCTCCACACTGTTAGCCCTGCTAGTGGTAGGAGACCAGGGCTTGAACCCAGGCCTCCTTCACACTCTCTCCTGGGTCCCCATTTCAAACATTGAAAAACACGGTGAAAGTTATCTTTAGATTTTGGTAGTTTAGAAGAAAAAATTAACTTCAGCATCTAGTTAAACGAGCTTATTTTCCATTTTACCTCTAGAACAGTAATGCTAGATTTGGGCTTCTGGAAAGTACCTAAGATCAGCGACTAGCATAGGATATAGTGCTTTAGATTCTCAGCATCAGAATAACTGTTTAAATCTGTCAATAACTTTATAGCATTAAAATTTTTTTCTTGAAGATCTCATTGAGTTTGTTTTTTTGGCTTTTTGGGTCACACCTGGCGATACTCCTGGCTTTGCACTCAGGAATTACTCCTGGCGGTGCTCGGGGGCACCGTATGCGATGCTGGGGATCGAGCCTGTGTTGGCCGCATGCAAGACAAATACCCTACCTGCTGTGCTATTGCTCCAGCCCCCTCACTGACTTTATTAATCAGTTTATGAGTCAGGAAGCAGCCCATTTAGCAAATAAACACCGCAAAAGTTACACAGTGGAAGGATTTTATAGTGAAAAAGAGGGTGAAACAAGGCCATTAGCAAAAAAAAGAAGGATTAGATCAGGCAAAATCATCTTTCATATGGGGAGGTAGAGGGGTTTATCATATAGATTATTCACTAATTTTTATCACATTTTTAACTCTTGGCTCTGTGCTCAAGGATCACTCCTGGCATGGCTTAGGGTACCATATGGGATGCTTGGGGTCTAGGGTACTAGGATGGCCATTCAAGGCAAGCACCTTACCTACTGTATTTGTAGCCCCATAACTTATTTTCTTTTCCTTTTCCCTTTTTTTTTCCTTTTAACTTTTGTTTTTGGGGCCACACCTGGCCGTCTCAGGATTTACCTCTGGCTCTGTGCTCAGGGATCACTCTGGTGGGACTCGGAGAACCATATGAGGTGCTGGGGATCCAGCCTGGGCTGGCTGCACTAGGCAAACGCCCTCCCCACTACTACTGTTGCTCTGGCCCCACATAGCATATTTAAGCAGAATTATCATGGAAGTCAAGTGATGACCACTTTCTAATACCCCATCATTCTCTGTAGTGAGGAGCTGGTGGCCCAAGCACAGACTCTCTGCGCACAGCTGGAAAATGTGATTCAGGATGCCGTGAACCAGCAAGGCCAGAGTCTAAAGGTGAGGGACTGTGTGAACCCCAGCTGCGCTGTGGGAGTGGGGAGTGCACTGGCCTCCAGGATAAAACAGGAAAACCCGTCAAGCCCCACCCCACGCCCACGCCCGTGGTCCACACCCTCATCTTGGGACTCGGAGCTGAACTAGTACGGCTAGTACTAGTATCTAACCGTACTAGATACAGGGAAACTAACCTGAGGGAGAAATGGCTGGGAGAAGATACATTAAGACGGGAAGATGGAACTGCTGAGAGGATACCGAAACAGTCCGCTTTTCCAGTGGCCCTTTCTTGTCAGTACAGTCCCCCACCACTACGCCCCGACCTCTCAGCTTCCGGGAGACTCGGAGAGGAATCTCCCTGAGTATCCTTTCAGTGATTTAATTGGCATCATCTCTCATTTTTTCAAATGTCCTTCTCCAGTTTGGGGCTTTTTAGATCTTCGTGCTGCTCTTTTTGCACATAGGTTTCGATCCTTTCCCTGCTTAATAACACCTCTGCCAGAGGGGAAGGAAGGCTTACCTGGCCTTCTCTGCCAAAGCTGGGTTCAGTTCAATAGCTGAGGCCACCTCACCACACTGAGCCTAGATAAGGGTTCCCCGCTTGCAGTTACAGAAGCTGGTAGACTCCAGACTAATCTAGAGGTTGACCCTGCACTGTTGCAGGCCTTTACTTGGGTTCAGTTGTGCCCTGAGTAATAAGACTGCTGACAAGACCAGGGTTCCTTTCAACTCCCAGCTGTTCGGTGGCCTCAAAAGCAAGACCCGAGGTGTGTTGGTGGCCTGTGTGTTAACCTGCCTGTGACTTTCAGTCTTTAGACTGGAGCTGGTTACAGACTGAGGAGGAGGACCAGAACAGTCTCCAGCAGGCCTCTTGACTTGGAGTGACCCTGATGCCCAGCACTGCTCTCCTTGGTGGTTCTTCCCAGAGCTACGTGTTGCTGTGACCTTCCCTACCAGCTGTGGACCGGGGTGTGGCGCTGTAACAATCTGTCTTTCCACTGGACACCTCCATCTCGAAGGCTGCCAGCATGAGTGTTTAGGGAGACCAAGCTACAGCTGCTTCTTCCTCCACTCTGAAAAATGTCTGCAACGTCTGGCTTGCCTCACAGACCACAGGACAAATGTTTAACTTTTTGAGAACAAAATACAGATGTACCAGCTGGTGCCAGCCTGCCCTCTCCTGAGCCTTACTGATCGCCAGAGGCCCCAATCTACCTGTCTGGAACAACTTGTATTCGAACAGGATTGGCTTCTCTAAATAGGCTTTTAAATCATAGATGTGTTCTAGCCTGTCCTTTTTTCCTCTTTTTATCTCACTGCTGCTAAAAAGAAAACCCTTTGACCTACGACTGTGGTAGTTCTCCTCCCTACAGGAAGACTGTAAGTGAATGTTAAGCCTTCTGAATTCTTTCAGCTTCACTGTAACTTGAAAAAGTCAGAATGGGTGGCCAACCCCACCTCCCTTCTTTCATCCCAGACATGGAAGAGCCAGAGAGATAACAATGGACTGAACACATGCTTTGCATGCGAGAGACCCAGATTCCATCCCTGGCACCTCACAGTTCCTAAGCAGAGCCCAGAGTAGACCCTGAGCACTGCCAGGTGGGTCACTAAGACCAAAGAAAAGGATGTGTCAGCCACTAGCCTGCTAACCTCTGTGCTCAAACCTACACTTGTTCAGCTGTCTCTGATGTGGTGGTAAGTGGGGATTGCCTGTCATATTATCTAGCAGTATTATTAAATTGATTTATTTTTAAAGATAGTTGATATGTTTTGTTACATGTCTCAAACACTAATACAAGGCTCCACAATATATTCTGCAATGCCTATGGTTATGAATTTGAAGCTAAAAATTCTATTAATGAAGAATTTAAGAACTGAATAGTGCCCTGACCAAACAGTGCCATAGGACTTGCACTGCTTTTTGATCATTCCAAAAACTACCCATCTATATAAAAGCAGGAAAACAAGATGAGCTCAGGTGATCTCAGATAAGTTGCTTTGGAAAAGAAAGTTGAAATAGAAGTTTCATGAAGTCTCACCTAAAGAACTTAGGAAAAAGAAGAGCAAAATAAAAGCAAACAAAAGATAAAACAAATGTAAGTGAGAAAGAAATCAGTAAAATAGAGGGCGTAGAGAAAAAAATAAGTGAAATGAGCTGATTTTTTGGTAAGGTTGATAAAAAAATTTGACAGACCTCAAGCAAAGTTGAAGAAAAAGACAAGACAAAAATTACTCAATTAGGAATGGCTAGGGTACTGGCACCACAGCATCAAGAGAATGATCTAACACATGCACATGGCAATATGGATGAAATGGACCAAGTCTTTGAAAAGCATAACTACCCAACTCATCAAATATGAAATAATGTGAAGAGCTATATAACCATGAAACTAGATTTTTTTCTAATAATAAAAAAGCATGCAATGTCCACAAACAGACAAACAAAAAGTTTCTGAGACTAGATCAATTATTTTTACCTCAAAAAAAAATGATAGGGGGCTGGAGTGATTGTACAGCAGTTAGGGGGTTTGCCTTGCACACAGCTGACCTGGGTTCAATTCTTGGAATCCCATATGGTCCCCCAAGCACCGCCAGTGGTGACCCCTGAGCATCACTGGATGTAACCCAAAAAAGAAAAAAAATTAAAAATAAGGGAGAACGCTTTTCTATTTATTTTATGATGCCAGTGTTTCCATATCAAAACTGAAAAAAACAGTAGTTCAGAAAAGGAAAGTACTTGTAAGTATCTTCATGAATGCAGAAATCTTTAACAAAATAGCGTCTGTATAACCCATGGTCAGGCGTGGCTTAATCGATGCATGCAAGTTTAAATATTCATAAATCAGTGTAATCATATCATGAGACTGAAGAGGAATATCAGTTGCTGCAGAATATACTACTAACATTTAACACCCACTCATAAACTCAGAAGAAAAAAAAAAGAAATCGAGTGCTGGAGAAATAATACAGTGAGTAGGATGCTTGCCTTGCACTCAGCTGAGCCGGCTTCAATTCCCAGCATCCCAAATGGTCCCCTGAGCACCACCAGAAGTAATTCCTGAATTTAGAGCCAGGAGTAACCCCTGAACATCACCAGGTGTGGCCCCAAAACCAAAAGGTGGGGCTGGGGTGGGGGGAGAGGGAAGAGAAATCATTCTCGGATTACTAAAGAGCATCTTTACATGAAGTAAACATTTTAAGATGGAATGGTTCCCCTGCCCTTCTAAAAAGGCAGTGCTGTCGTCTCTCACATCTGCTATTACCCATAGTACTAGAAGCTCAAATCAGAGCAATAGAGGGGGAAAGTTTAAAGAAAACAAAAGGGATTGAAAATAAGCAAATAAAACAATTTGTATTTATAGAAGATGTAAGGTTTATGTGACAATCTCAACATACCAAATGGGGTGGGGGGGAGGGGGGGCGGGGAACCCTCAAGGATAAAGTCTGCTCAGCAACTTCACAAACTCTAAGATAAACATAAAAGTATGTGCTAAGGGTGGGAGAGATAGTGCAGCAGGTAGACTGCTTGCCTTGCACGAAACCAACCTGAATTTGATCCCAGGCATCCCATATGATCCCCTGAGCATTGCCAGGAGTGATAACTGAGGCAGAGCCAGAAGTAGCCACTGAGCATCACCGGGTGTGGCCTAAAAACAAAGTAAAAAAATGCCTATATTAGATAGCATATAAAAACCAGAACTAAAAATATTAGTATTTATAAGTATTCAAGATAAGATGCATAGATATAAATCTAATAAAATATAACATGCTGAGAACTACAAAATGCTTTATCAAGTAAATAGAATTACCATGTTAAATGGATTGAATTATTTTATATGTTCTCCACAAAGTGGTAATCATGTGGGAAAGACAAAGGAGCTATAAGATCTAACATAATATTGAAAAAGAATAAACCAGGGAAACGCCTCCAAGGGCTGGAATACATAGACAAAGCATGCCGAAGGCGCACATTGGCCCACTGACACCACCTGGGCACCACGTGAAATAATCCCCGATCACTAAGTCACCAGCAGATACACTTCAACCTTACTACCACCTCCACTCTGCAAGCAAGAATGAATCAGAAGTAAAGATTACCTGATTTTAAGACATGTAGGTGTGATAATCAAGATTGTGATTTTGGAAAAAAGAACAGAAAACTCAGAAACAGCTCCACATAAGTACAACCAACTGATTTTTGCAAAGGTCCAAAATTAGTACAGGACAGTCTTAAACATATGGTTGAATATTCCTAAGAAAAAATTGACAACACTTGTTACCAAAATTAGCTGAAATGGAGCATACAGATTTACATGCAAAGCATGAACATGATAAAATTTTTCATCAACATCAAAAGCATAACCCATACATATTTGAAAATTAAAGTGGACGTTGTCAAAATTAGAAACTTCTGCTCTGGAGGCCAGATAGATAGTCCAAAGGGTAAGAAGCTTGCCTTGCATGCAGCTGACGTGGATTCGATCCCAGGCCTCTAGGTATGGTCCCCTGAGCACTGCCAGTAATTATCCTTGATCAAGCCTAAGTGCTGCCAGGTGTGGTCCGCTCCCACAAAGAGAAAAAAAAAAAAGACTTTGTTCTGGAAGATATTTTAAGAAATAAAAAGAGAAGCTAGAGGCTTGAGAATGTTTGTGGACCATATATCTAGCAAAAACCGTCGATTGAATATGATGTGGTCTATTTCGTTGTGGAATCGTCCACCGGGAGACTCCCATGTCCATCGTTTAGATTCTGCCTTCTGGAACTGTGAGTTACCATGAATGGTCTTGGTCGACATGATGAACTCAGACAGTCTCTCACCCTGTTCGTTCCATTCTAGGCCATGGGTTCCGATGTGAAGTTCTTCAGCTGATCTTCTCGGTCCTATCTTGGCATTAAAATCACCCACAATGATCTTGTAGAAGGTGTGGTCTTCTTTATAGAACTTCTCTAGCTCCATGTAGAACTTCTCGATTTCTCTTTCATCATAATGAGATGTTGGTGCGTAGACAACGAAGATAGAAACTGCAGGCAGTGAGCCACATCTATTCAAATGTAAACGTCCGATTCGGGTTGTTAGGCATTCAAATGAATCAATGCTCTTGGCCAAGTTTGTGTTGACAAGGACACCGACGCCTCCAACACCTCTTTTATCGCATGTTCCGAGGAACAATTCTTCTCCAGTGTCGAAAAAGGCATGGTGAGATTCGTGTCTTCTTGTCTCGGTCAGACCAATGATGTTGTACTTGATCATTCGTGCTTGTACCATCAGGTCCTCGATGGATGCATCTGATGCTAGCGTACGTGCATTGAAAGTACAGACGATCATTTTTGTCTTCCTTCGTTGTGGCAGCCTAGGTCGGCCTTGAGATTTTGTCGGCCTCTCCTTTCTCATCCTTCTCAGTGCTGCCATGTCGGTGAAGCCTTCAGGGTCAGGTGAATGAGACCAGTTGTAGTTACTGGTTTTGGCATATCGAATACACAGCGGATAGCTTGCCAGGCTCTTCCGTGCGGGTGGAATACTCTCGGTAGCTTGCCAGTCTTTCCGAGAGGTATAGAGGCTTTTGGGGTGACCTCTAATCACCCTTGTAGGTGTTACCATATTTGAACCCTATCAAATATGGTACGACAATTCCAGAAGACGGGTATTTAGTGTCTTATGATGTGTCCGGAAAGCATCCTAGAGTGTGGCGACGGCTGGGTAGTGGAAGTAGTGTCGAGAGTGGAAGTCTGCCAGTGGGATATTTATCTGGGTAGGGTGGGTCTCCTGTGCACAATTCGATCCCTGGGTGGTTGATGGAAGCAGACAGGGCAGGGTAGGGTGGGGCTCCTGATTAGAATCCCTTTGTCACCTGTGGTGGTGGGAGCAAGCAGAGAAGCTCTGTCCCTGGGTCCGCCGAGCCTGGAGTCCAAGGTCTCAGAGAGTTCCGCTTACCTTGTTCTGTGGGTCTTCAGTTGTGCGTGGGTCTCGGCCGGAGCTGCCGCGCGGGTCCGGAAAGCATCCTGGAGTGTCCTGACTGATGTCGCTGTTGTCCCAAAATTTCGAACGGGATCGGACCACCGTCTCCTTCGTGCAAAATTCTACTTCACAGAGCGGGGAGAAAGGGCTGCAAAGTTCAAAAAGAGAACTCCCAGAACGACCACCAACTGGGAACTCTTTGGTACTATTGCGGCAACATGGGAAGATGCCATTGTTGACAACATTGACGAGGAATACGATCGACTGGTTCAGCACCTCCATGAATGTGCGAGGAACGCCAAGAGAGAGATAGCCACAAAAAATCGCCTATCTTCGAAAACTCTTGAGCTAATTCGCCAGCGTGGTTTGGCGCATGCCTCAGGCAACCGCAAGCTAACGTCCGAGCTTGCAAAGCAGTGCAGAGATGCGATCAAGGAAGACCTCAAAGAGAGAAGAGCAGAAGTACTGGTAGATGCGGCAGAAGCCGGGAAAAGTATTCGTAACGCCCGCCTGTCCTTCGCCAACTATAAGACCAAGATGACTGCCCTCCGACGTCCTGATGGATCCATCACATCCTCCAGAATGGCAATGGAGAAGATTATCCATGACTTCTACTCAAATCTCTTCGATAGCCATGTCCACTTGCCGACATACCAAATTCCACAGGATGGGTATGTCATTCCCAACGTTCTCCCTTCCGAAATCCGACACGCCATTTCGTCAGTAAAGAAGCAAACAGCACCCGGCCCAGACAAGGTCAGACCTGAACACCTGAAGAACCTGCCGTCAGTACTCATCAATACACTGGCTCGGCTCTTCACACGCTACCTGTCTGAATGCAAGGTTCCATCTCAATGGAAAACCAGCAGGACTGTACTACTGTTCAAGAAGGGAGACATCCATGACATTGGCAACTATCGCCCGATCTGCCTATTGTCTGTCATCTACAAGTTGTTCACTCGAGTCATCCTGAATAGGATTGGCAGA